TACAGTTGCTAAATATAACGATAATTAAACAAATAAAACACTAAACAGTAATCACGGGGAGAAACTACAGCAAGAAACACACACACACACAAAAAGGTAAAATCAGTAATACGAACATATTAAAATATGTATAATTTAAATGAAGACTGCATGTTGTTCAGTGTTGGAGATTGCTGTTTGATGTGGAGGGTTTCTTTGATCAATAATTCCAGGTCAGTATTAGACTTGCAGAGGATAGAGAAATTTGATAGTATAGGTTGATGTCCTGTTTCTTTACTATGTTGGCGTAGAGAGGAAACACAGGGGTTGTTCAATTTTTTTTGCGTTTTGATGGAAATACCCATATGTTCATAGGCTCTGACTTCTAAATGGCGTTTGGTTTTGCCACTATAGGAGGCCTTACAATCTCCACACGTGTAAAGATAGACAAGTCAAGAACAATAAGGAATGGGGAGGAGATCTTTAGTAGGGAATTTTTTTTATGCGTGATGTGGATATAAAACTAATCTTAAATCCACTTGAGGGTAATAACGACCAAGTATGCGTTTAAGTTGATTTTTTAAATTTAAGCTTTGTTTGCCAGTATAGGGAAGACACAAGTATATAGTAAGTTTAGGTACAGTTGTTATCTTAATTGGATTTGTGAGTTTCTTTGTTAGGAAGGTGTTGGTAATGTTTTCTAATAAGTGTTGTGGATAGCAGTTGGGTTTCACGGTGTCATGTAAGAACGAAATTTCAGAGTGTAGATTAAGATATATGGAGCACAGTTTGTAAGCTCTGTTTAGTAAGCATGTAACAAGGTTTCGTTTATACGTAAACGGGATAAAGCTATCAAAATGTGTAAGGAGACCAGTGGACGTCTTTTTTCGGTAAATTGATATGGAAAATCAATTAGCATTACGGTTAATGAGCATGTCTAAAAAAATGGTAAATTATTATTATTTTGAACGTCACATGTAAATTTAATGGCAGGATGTTGTGAGTTAAGATATTCTAAAAATTTTGAGCATTGATTACTGTTATTAAAAAGAATAAAAGCGTCATCCACATACCTTCTGTACAGAACAGGCCTAAAGTTAATTGGACAGGTGTCAATCCATTTCTGTTCGTAATGAGAGAGAAATGCATTAGCTAAAGTTGGACCTAATGGGGAGCCCATCGCAACGCCATCTATTTGTTCATACAAGGTGTTGTTGAACAGGAAACGTGAATTCTTAGTGGTAAGATCCAGGATGGTCTTAATTTGATTTTCAGAAAAGCCATTTAGAGGAATGTTATTACGCGAAAGCTCAGATATGCATATGTTAACAGTTTCATTTAAAGGAATATTTGTAAAGAAGGAGGTAACATCAAAGCTCGCCATGAAGAGATTATCTGAGGGGGGTAGTTGACTTAGTTCACGTTCAAAGTGGAAGGAATCCGGGATAGTATATTCATTAGTAGTGAGTGGCTGAAGTATAAGTACAAGGAATTTAGCAAGTTTGTAACCAGGTGTGCCTATAGTGGAAAGAATTGGTCGGAGGGAGGAACCTGTTTTATGAATTTTGGGAAGGCCATATAACATACCAGGACGGGAGCCAGTGGGATAAAGCGAAGAAGCAGCATTTTCAGATATAATATTTTTGTTCTTTAGTTGTCTTATGTATCTTTGGATACCAAACGCCATTTAAAAGTCAGAGCCTATGAACATATGGGAATTTCCATCAAAACGCAAAAAAAGTTGAATAACCCCTGTGTTTCCTATATACGCCAACATAGTGAAGAAACAGGACATCAACCTATACTATCAAATTTCTCTATCCTCTGCAAGTCTAATACTGACCTGGAATTATTGATCAAAGAAACCCTCCACATCAAACAGCAATCTCCAACACTGAACAACATGCAGTCTTCATTTAAATTATACATATTTTAATATGTTCGTATTACTGATTTTTCGTTTTTTTTCTTGCTGTAGTTTTTCCCCATGATTACTGTTTAGTGTTTTATTTGTTTAATTATCGTTATATTTAGCAACTGTACTTTGACAATGTATAAAGACTTATGTAAATATATTTTATTCTGCTTTAGATACTGAACATGGAATCTGATAGAATTCCGAAACGTTTATCCATGTCCCCTTTTTGTTAATAAACAATGTTGTATATCATAAGTGTTGTAATTTTGTTTACTTTTAACTGTCATTCTTAGTCCGGAAGTTGATAGTTCTAATATAATTCTAAGTCTTGATATTCAGCCCAACATTGCACGATCTAAAATAAAATTCATTGATTCTTTGTTTTGACCCTATACTTTATTCATTTTGTTTCAATTTTATTGAACTCGACTAGATTAAATCATAGCTTTTGTAAAGTCTTATGCAAAATTGAAATAAGAAGACGACAAATTGAATTTGGAAGAAAGTATTTGTAACCATTAATATTTATTGCACAAATATAAATAATAATTTACAATTCATGCTATTTCACAATAAAGGTGAAACAAAATAATTATAATTATACAATAATTAACAAAATTCTTCTTTCCATTGCATAGCTGTAAGTAAAGCTAATACTAATTTAAAATAAACTTGTAATTTTGATTCTATTTGATAAATATTTCGATAATTTCTGAATAACTTGGAGATTTCTATATTCAATTTTCTGTAAAAATAATCGAAAGTTCAACAAAACGTACTTGGTTTATAATGGATCTTAGACAGTTTTTGGTTCATTTTAATTTTGAAAAGCTTCCTTAACAGACGCGACACTCACATGCATGGTCAGGATTGTCTTTAATGACACGTGTACATTTGGATGCAGTTCTTTAAGTACTTTATTGTTTTGCACGTAAGTTCAAGACAACAAGAGTAATTAATACTCTGGAACAATTTCCAAAATATTTTAAAGTATGCGCATAATTTCATATCACCTATATCACGAGAATTTCTATCTTGGAGCACAAGCTGGAGATCTTGATAATATTTAAGCATTATATAAGATCAATTTAGTCATATCATTCAGATCTCGCCCCTAATAGTTCAGCGGTAAGTCTGAAGTTTATAACGTTAAAAAAACGGGTTTTAATATCCGTGGTAAGCACACCAAAGTCAGCCCATTTTGTAGAGAAATCCAAAATTTTCATTGTGGAATTGTGAAGTCCAAATCGTTGGAGAATTAATTATGTTACATTTTAAATTCTAAGTACGAATATATTCAATTATAAAATATTCCTGAGTATCTACTGTTGAATAATCTTTTTCTTTGTATATAGAAAATTTAGTTTCTTTTTATGCAAATGAGTAGTTTGAAAGGAAGGTTCTGTGTTCATTTGTTCTGCCAGTTCGTTGGCTGATGCTAAGACTGATGTAAATATACTCTCACAATATTCTATTAGAAATAGAATTAGTGGCTCTGTGGTAAGCTTGAGAGTTTATAACGCTAAAATTCGGGCTTGATCTCTGTGGTGCGCGTAGAATAGATAGTCTATTCTGCAGTTTTGTACTTAACTAAAAACAAATCATAAGTTTGTAGCTACATATATTTGCATTTTCGAACTTCAGTTTACTTATTCTGTTTACTTGTATTAAAAGATCATATACAATAACTAAACTGAACATAAATGCATGAGTTACTAGTGAAGCTGCTTTGTTCCTGATACCAGATCATTTGGTTCAATGCATTTCGTATACATCAGTGTCAGGTTTTTACGTATATGTGGGTAGGATTTTTCACAGCAGGTGTCTGTGATTTGTTGGCTGTAATTTTTAACAATAACAAACAGCACATAGTCCATTTGTTAAAAATAATATATTAAAAGAAGTCAAATGTGTATACAAATGTTCATTACACAGTTAATTACCACAGTTGTATCCAGAGCTTTGAATAATCGCCTCTTTTCGTCGAAGTCCACACAGGCTTGGTCAATCACTTTAGAACACAATAGATAAAACAAATTATTCTTCTCAACTCTGTTATTACAATATCATTGGTGATAATTTCACTTACGTTACTCCGTTGGTTACCACAGTTATAACCAGAGGTTCAAATAATTGTCTCTTTTCGTCAAAAGTCCACAACTGTTTGTTCAATTACTCTAGAACACAATTGACAAGACGAACTATTCTTCTCTACTCTGTTGTTACAATACAATCTGCGATAATTTCACTTAAAAAACGCCACTACACACTCTTTATTGCTAATCTTATAAACACACAGTCAATATCTATTTGACTATACCTTCCATTAACTTTGTCTTACTTGAACTATATTTTGGGCGTGTATTCATAAATAGCCTAACTAAGAACGTTCCACATACTAAGAGATATTATGATGTAATGATACTCGAGAAAAATTTATAAAGTTCTAGGAACATGTTGCAGTAACACAACAGTTGCTAATTTAAAAAAAATTGACTGCGCAAGGTATGATTCACACAATTATGTGGATAAAACCTGCAATAAACTATTTCTTCTCAAAATAACTAAATTTAACTCTCGCGCTATACTTGAATTAAAACAGTCATGTATATCTAACAACCAGAAATATGATTCCAAACTGCTTTCAAACTATAGATTCGACAATCAAATCTTATATCTAATAGTTATTTTGTTGACAGAGGAGGTGTATCTTCTTTCTGAACTTCCTGTCTGACTGGAAAGGCTGTAAACACTGTGTATATTTCTTGTAGAATTCCAAGATGTGACCACTCTCATCAAATAATCAATGTTATCTCCAAGGTCTACATTAAAGGTGTAGCAGATAAGTGGTACGTAGAAAAATTATCAATATTTATTATTGTACATCTTAATGTTACTCCTTCATATTGCATCAATTTTCATAATCCTGACCTCTACAATCCTTAAGGTTTGGTTCGAGAGAAGCCACTTCCATTTGCAAAGCTCCTGCCAATACATGGCCAGTTGTGTTATTTACGGCAAGAAAGTTTATAAAATGCTCAGCAACTTCAGTGTTCATGATTTCAATGTTGACCAACTGAAAGATGTAAGATAATTTACTGCTTATGGATGAAATCAGATACGCAATCCAAAAGCACAGAGCAGTATTATGAGTCCTTGGCGAAGGCAATTATTTTCCTATTATGTTTTAGACAAACATAATATAACTTCGTGTAACATATCTTCTAAATAATGAGCATGTACTGTGATTATTTGTTTAATCTTCTTTTTACACGTTCCTCCATCACCGAGTTGATTTTTCCAATAGTTCAGATTGTCTTAAATGTTGTCATTACTTGGACCTTACAGTGTTCCTTTCTTTCCCTATCAAGTTTTGTATTGTTGCGATAAAGCATTCATTTAATCTCCAACCCAGTTTCTCTGTTTGAATTATTGCCTCATGTTCGTTACAAAGGGTGGTGTACTCTCTTAAACAGTTTTCCATTTCTGCTCATTCTTTATAGAGAAGAACTGAACTTTCTTTCTCTTTAATCGCGAAGTCAAATTCTGCCAATCGCCTCCTTGACAGAGTAATGAATTGTACGGCGAGAATAGATTGCAGTGAAAGCTTTACACCTTGTTTTATGATTCGAGAAGATTGACCATAGTCTGATAACAACTCTATTTTTTGTTTTTTAAAATTATTTTGAACAAATAAAATATTTTTTCGTATTGTGTAAATTTGGTAACTTCACTCTGAATAGGTACTTTTTATATTAGGTAATTGTGTATGCTTCTGTTACAAATTTCCGGCCATGGACCTGCCTTATTGGCTAATACTTCATTTTTTTCTTAATCTTGGAAGTAGTCTTCTGCATAACGTTTGTTTTCGTAATAATTTATTTTTTCTGTTTTCCACTGTTGCATCTTCCGCATTTTGTGAATCACATTTTTTGGTGAATTTAGCTATATACACCCCCATCTTTGATTAATAATAAATTCATCCAACTTTTGAATGTATCTCTGTTTCTACTGCTGTTTGAAATTTTTTATATGCCTTTTCTCGGGAAATGTGTCTATATCTTCTGTTCCTCTATATCTATACTAATTTCAAAGTCAAACTCCCAAACGACTGACATAAACTGAGGTGATACGAAATGCTAGACACATTAAAATATTTCAAAATAATAAGTACAGTCAATAAAGAGCATCGACTGTAAATAAAGGAATTTCCCAATTTAGAAAATTTGACACGTGTTATGAATAAAGTATTTGGTGGTGGGAAAATCTTATTAACTACAGTTGCTCTTCTTTAGTTTTTTCATACCAGTAATTGTTGAACAAAAGTAAGGGTTTGTTTGTTTTTGGATATTTGCACAAAGATTCTCAAGGACTATCTGTGCTAGCCGTTCCTAATTTCGGAATAAAAGACTAGAGGGAAAGCATTTAGTGAATGACCCCCCCCCCCAACTCTTGGACTACTCTTGTGTTACCGAATAATGTGATTTGACCAACCTTCATATAACATATATATTTTTATTTTTTATTGTGACAGACGTGGACATTGGAAACACCGATCCATTGTCTGGCATGCTAACCACCGCGCCTCAATCGCCCAAGAAGTTTTCGATAAAATGATATATTTTGGAAGGTTCGGTGAATTTATCAAAATTTGATTTTCACTACTTTTCGCCATTAAGATTTGCTCTACAGTACATTTAAACAGCGTTTCCAAAAAAAAAAAAGTAAAACAAGTTGATTAAGATTTGTTTTAATATTTCAAAATAAATAGCATTTAAAAATAACAAAGCTTATGGTGTTTAGCACCCGTGCTATTGGATTTTTGTGATCTGACATCATAATAGAATTGTTCACAATTTTGGGTCACTAAAAGTGTTCTGTATCTTAAAATTTGGAGTTCGATTCACCATGGTAAGCAAAGTAAAGATGGCTAATTGTGGATCTTTGTGCTATAAAACAACAACACTTAAAAATGATAAAAATATTTTTTCAGTTTTATTGTGTTGATGTTTCCGCATATAAAAGCTATCTAAAAGTATTTATCTTAATTCCAAGTTTATGTTTCATTGTACCATGATTTTGTCTGTTGCGCCGATGAAACCATGATATCAACAGCGTGAATAGCGACTGAATTTCCGTAATCATATCTCACAGTCGCTCGGGGAATCTCCTCTCACAGACCCTAGCGCCGACGCTTTTAAACATTAGTGTAGAAATGATAATAAGAAAGTACGCCTGTATGCCATTCTGTGTATGTACGGTACTCGAATACAATTTGTTTGAGCCTTCAAACAAGTCTATATTGACAAACGTTATTGCACGTGGCTTCACAATACGAAGTACAACTTAAACGACCACCACTAGTAAGTGTATATCAAAGTTTACCGAACAGGAAGGTTGTATAACATCACCTGACCCCTGGTTATATGGTATATAATGTAACAACAGTTTACTAAAGGAAACACATGCCATAAATTTCAAAGTGACTTCCCAGCAATTAAAAAATTAGTCTAGGTCACCTTCTTCTCAGTATAATTGTCTAAAGGCAATATTTGTATTGGAATTCGAAACTCATGCTCTCATCCCTGCTGTGTAAAGGTATAGTGGATATATGTTCTTTGAAAGAGCCCTCCAAAGCTTCCCCTCCTTTTTTGACACGAATGTGTTTAGTATTTTCACAACCAACATTCCATATTTATTTGTTTTCACATACAGTATAAGTTTCAAATATATTTAGGCCTTCTATCATCCTATGTATATAACATGTTTATTTTCCTAAAACCAGTCCTACACGATTGCTTATTTCTTTTTTTTTACAAGAACCTTTCTTTGTACCTGCTTCTTTTTTTCAAAGAGCCTTTGTCCAAATACCTGAGCACTAGGGTAAGATGTACTTTTGTGCATAATATTCATAAATAGTCAAAGGTATATATATATATATATATTGCTTATGATGAATTTTCAAACAATATTCCTTTACTGAATATAGTTTTCAGTGCATTTTGTGATTTTGTGTTTTAGTCTATACACACATACATCATGAACATACATGGAGTGATATCCTTCAATAAAGTGTAATGTCATAAACATTCACAATTTTATATACAAATCAAAGAAATAGTTTATATTGTACTATTTCTACCTTCCGCTTACACAAGATATTAATTTCTTGTGTTCATCAAGTATCCAGAATAGCAATAACTAATAAAGTATTTTTCTTTACAGTGTTCACAGAGAAAAGCTAACTTATATATGGGGAATCTCACGTAAGGTAAGATATATGGTTTTATTCAAATAATATGTTCTTCATAAATTTTCACAGATTTTTATCTGACTTATGATGAATTTATATAAATATAATAATACTGTTTGTTTTCTGTTGTATGCCCATGTAACTACTTCGCAGGATGGAGGTTCATTAGGTCCATGCGGGGGTACATACAAATTTTCAGTTTTGCATTTTGCGTTTTGCGGTTTTATGGACGTTTTTGCGTTTTTTACCACTACCTCACCTCCGGTGGATAGATCTGCAACACATTTGGTGTGGAGGTTTATTGAGGTTCCATGTGGAGATGCGTATAAAAATTCAGTTTTGCATTTTGCAGTTTTTATGGTCGTTTTTTGCGCGTGTGTGTGTGTTTTTTTTGTTTTGTTTTTACAATTACATAAAAGAGAAGCGACTTTTCATGTTCTAAGATAACATTTCATTAATCATGAATTTATATAACTTCCGTCCAGGGTACTCCAGCTAGTAGATAAATAGGATTCTTTGGTCTAACTTCTTTGAAAGTTGTTTTCAGTGTATTTTATGATTTCACATCAATAATGTACATGGAGTGATAGCTTACAATGTGATGTAAAAAACATTTACAATTTTAAGGACGAAATGAAGAAATTACTTACATATATTAGTTTTACCTGGTACTCACAAAAAATAATATTTTTTTGTGTTCATCAAGTCTCCAAAATATCTGTAACCAGTAAAATATGTTACTCTACAGAAAGAACATTTTATATATTTTTATTGGACGAAGTTTTCCACGTCTTGTAAGGTAAGATTATTTTCAATTTCTATAACTTCTATATTTTGTAACGACTTACTTGTTTTTCCTACACAGTATAAACAGCCAAACATTTTTGACATTTATGGTTTAGATATTATTTACAAAAATGTATGTTTTAAACAGTATGTGTACACTATGTATGCTGCGCTTCCAACAGACTATACATAATAGATAGTGTGTAACAACTGATACATTTTATTTAGCCTGTCTAAATACTGTTAGCTGTGACAAATAATAAAACTGTGATTATTAATTAAATTTGTTAAATGTATTCTTAGACCTTTTAAGTCTATGTTAAATAGTTCAAATATATATGTATACCACATGTTCATTATCTCAACCAAATATTAATAACATACTAAAATTATCATAGATGGCCTCTAGAGATAGATTCCCTGAAGAAGAAAAGTGATCTTTCTTTGTATGAAGCATTATTATTATTACTTTTTTTGCTTCCTCCTGTGAAGAAGAGTTTATTTCTTCCGAGTCAGATGAGGTACCCACAACAGTAACGGCTGTAACATTCATTCCAGAAGAACCAGCATTGCTGGATTCACTTTTACTTGAGGAGCCTATCCTACATTCATGGGAAGGAGACTCCTCGTGACTCCAACAATCTAGGATACTGTTACTGGTCTTCCAACGACCAGCACTTCATTCACTTCAAATAGGGCCAGAAGCGAGAAAACAGAGCAAAAGCCTCTGGCTTGTAGTGCAGAGTGGAAATGTGAGGTCCTCAAAGATGAGCAGTCCAAATTGTTGAGGGACTTCATCCGAGGAAAGCCTGTATCCCGTGAAGAGAACATGTGTTAGACATCTCTTGATTTTTTCCAACTGTTTTTACTCTCAGTATTGTTATCAAAATTTCTGAGGAAACAAATAGATTTGCACACCAGAAAGGGGGGAGGACACACCTAAAGATCGATATCAGAATGTAAAAAAAAATACAAAAAATGCTGTTACTCTTGAAGAAATTTTAGCTTTTATTAGTGTAACTATTGCTATGAGCACATCTCTCTTAGAGAATACTGATCTACCATTCCTTCACTTCATTTACCATGGTTTTCTTCAAATTTTTCCAGAGAAAAATTCCTAACTATCGCTCGTTTCCTGTATTTGAATCACAGTACCAATAATGTACCTGAAACTGATGCTAAGCACTATAAACTCTTCAAAATAAGGCCTGTGCTCAGTCATCTACTAACACCTTTTCCAGCTAACATGGGAACATAGGGTAGAATTTCAATTAGACAATATCTACTTACCGAGCTTAGCAAGAGGAGCGGTCAAATTGTGGGTTCTGGCAGAATCCGTGACTGGGGAAAATGTCTAAATTTTAGAGTACACTATGGTAAAGAGGGATGTGTTTAATTAACACAGTTGTAAAGATTCTGATAGACAAGTAACTTGAAAGGGGACACTCCTTCTTTACTGACAACTTTTATACTTCTATAACTATGTTTGATAAGTTGCTGGCACATATGCTTGTGGCACTTGTAGGAAGCAGAAGGCCCACTTCCCACATATGTTTCCAGGTAGGTTAAAAAGGAGAACGTCGCAGTTTTTAAAGTACGTTAAAACATCGAAATAATATGCTATTAATTTAAATAAGTCCTCTTTTAAAAGTTTTATGCAATTAATATGAAACGATTTGTTTTTATTTAACACAGAATGTGTAAGTTTATTGTTTTTTTACTTTTAAAAGCCGGCGCTTAGAATACATTGCCATCGTTTCATATATTGGTTAAATGCAAATGTTTTTTTTTCTTTAGTTGGTCCGGCATGGCCAAGTGGATAGGGCGCTCGACTCGTAATCTGCGGGTTCTGAATCCCCATCCCGCCAACCATGCTCACTCTTTCAGCCGTGGGGGCGTTATAATGTTACGGTGAATCCCACTGTTCATAGGTAAAAGAGTAGCCCAAGAGTTGGCGGTGGGTGGTGATGACTTCTCTCTAGTCTTACACTGCTAAATTAGGGACGGATAGCGCAGATAGCTTTCGTGTAGCTTTGCGCGAAATTCATAACATAACTTTTTTTAGTTTTTATTTCTTACTAAGTTTTATATGAGACTTGATAACGTTTAGAAACTAACAATTAGAAAAATGAACCAATAAAATTATCACCTATGCGCATTTGGCGTTCATGTAATACATTACGTAAAGAAAGCCTAGTTCTAATACGTATCGAACTTACTTTTGTCCTTGATACACATTGTCATAGTCCATTACCTTTGACGTGCTAACTGGAGATCTACGTAGTTTAGTACTATGTATGTTCTCCTGTAATACCCACTGTCTAGAGGTTCAGAAATACTAGAGGTTTTAACCTCCATATTTTAACTTACGTAATGACCAGTAACATAAAGAACACGTGCACTCTGGGAGAGGTGACGATATTATGCTATCATATTGAATTTTGTACTGCGTTTTGCTACACCTACTTGCAACATTGAACACCATCAAAACTAGTGATGACATATTTTATGTCTATCTGCTCATAAAGAAAATGAACTTCTAGTTAATTCAATATTTTGAAATGAACAAATTAATCTAAAAGTTTGAAGCATCACCCACCAAATAAAACTGGTCCAAACAGGAAATGTTTTTGTTTAATCAAAATTTAAATTCATAAAATTTGACCATTACTCTAATGAGTTATGTTTTAATTAAAACACTTTTAATTTTTTAACTTAACGACGCACTATCTTCAACCATATATGGTGAATAGAAATATATGTAAACATTTAGGTTAACACAGTAAGATGGGGGCTTTTCATTACAAGCCGTAAAAGTACATACACGTGTATTGTTTTTAGTAGAAAATTGAACATTTTGAAACTTGAAATATATCCTTCATGTATTAACAGTAATTACTGACCAATAAAGTATTTTTTAACTTCATTATGTATTTGTAGCAGAATGAAGTTATCAAATACTTAATGTATTAAAGTATTCATCTTTACATTTGAGAAAACTAATGGAAAGGATCGAAAGAAACATTGGAAATGAAAAAATATTAATTACAGCCAAGATCAAAATTATCACTAGAAATGAGAATCGTTGCTCTAAATTAATTGTTAATTGAACGTAAATACAAAACTTATTTTTTAATTTTGTATTTAAATTCAATGAAGAAATGAATCTTATCTTATACCACTAATTAAACCACTATGGTCACCACCAGAGGGTATTAAATACACAAAAAACTATTTTGATGATTTCAGCTGTATTTTACGCTACTAATAAAACTCGTATAGTGTAAGTAACATTAGAAAGGGTATAATTCTAAAAATTATAGAATATGAAAGAACATTTATTTTATAAAGTCCTTTATATTATGATATTTACAATTTAAATCTTCCATTTTATGCATTTGGAATTATTCTTATTTTCAGCATTGACGTTACAACAATATATACAGAAAGTGACCGTATAACACTTGTCAAGATGTTATTTTACATGCAAGTTTTTCTATGAACACTGAACAGTAGGATAAAGAAACGAAATCCTAACTTTCGAAGTATTATTTATTTTATAAGATAATCGAAATAGACGTTAAATAAGTTTTTAAATAAGAAACCTTTACAGCATTATTGGTTTTATTCTAAAATCTTGAGTGCTTTTTTTTATCTAATTTCGTTCTCTTTCGAATATCATTTTTTAATGTGAGTTAGAAGGTAAATTAAAATAGAACAAATAGCAAATCCAAACAATAGTTCCTGTGCATTGTGTATAAAAAAATCCCACTAGATGGCTGAGTTACTACTACATAACTTATTGTATTGACGTTTTACATGACAGTCCCCAACAATTGAAAACAATGGTGATAATTTTAATCATTTGGAATTAAACTATGATTAAATCTTATATATTTCCCTCCATTAACAGTTCACTTTAAAATATGTTTGACACTAGAATTTCCGAAAGAATTACATGTATGACGTTTCTTTACTCTGAATTATTGTGTGCTTATGTAAACGGCCCAACCAACAAAAACGCAAAAGGCTAAAAAAAATTCCTAGAATAATAATTATCGTCAGTGTAAATAGTTAGAAGGAAACAGGGGTCTTGCATACCTGGCCCCCAAGTGGCACAGCGGTGTGTCTGCGGACTTATAACGCTAGAATCCGGGTTTCGATTCTCTGGCGGAAAGGGCGCAGATAGCCCATTGTGTTTAACTTCAAACGATCAATCAAACTTTCTTACGTAGTGGATTTTCTAAAGAGGAAATGGAAATAATATTTCACCTCGATTTTCTATGCAAATCGACGTGAGTCTATATCAATCATTCAATAGTTTAAATTATCTAGGTAATCAACCAATCTTTTGTGTGAAGCATAATGTTTTATCTTACATTATTTTCCCTTTGTGCAAATAAGTTAGTCTCGTAATAAGAATAAAAAAACAAAAAAGAAGACACTAATATAAAACTTAATCTCTCTTTTCTTTTTTACACAGGCAATAATTACTCCATGGGCTTGTGAACTGATTTGAAAACTAGAAAATAATATCGTCAATGAGCTTAGTAACACGGGAAAGGTTTAATCTATTTCCACTGCAAGTTATAAGTAAAACAAACTAAAGATTGAGCAGTTGCATGCTGGAGACTTAACTGTTTCTCATTCTTTGTTTCCAAAAAGTAGTATTCACTAGGAACCCAATAATTTGTGATATATATATATATATATATATATATATATATA